GGGGGGGGGGGGGGAATGTGCGGGGTGGTAGATGACGTCAGCATGACATCAGGGTGATGTCAAAATGACGTTGGGATTCGCGGGCGACGGGGTCGAAGCGGAGGGGAGTGGAGTTGGGAGGGAGGTTTTGGTGGGAGCTGGGGCTGATGTTGGGGGTTGGAGGCCGGGATATGCGCTGAGAGCACAACAGACCCTGGCATGGCGGCTGCGTCCGCACATGGTGCCCCGCCCCTCGGATCACCCCCGGCGCCTCAGATCACCCCCCGGCCCCTCATACCCCCCCCCGGTCCACCCACTTGAGGTGGGCCAGCAGGCGGTCCTCCGTCCAGGCGCCCAGGTGGGGGCCCTCCCTCACGACGGCCAGGTCCTGCGGCGACAAAGGGGCCAGCGCGAGCGGCCGGGTGGTCAGGTGGACGCATCGCGGCCGACGAGCGTTCGGCGCGCCGAGGGCTGCCCTCTCGAACCTGCCAGCGGCCCCTATGTGACAGGAGGACCATCCTACCCTCGGCCGCCCCGCGGGCCCACGGGGCGGCCAATGGCACAAGCAGCTTTTCACTCATCCCGATATACATCCATATGACAAGCAGGCCAAAGGAAAGTGAGTGTCACCTCTGTGTCGAGGAAGGTGTCGTCGTCCGCGGGCGCCCTGCTGCCCAGCACCTTGAACAGCTGCTCGTTGTGCAGGCCCTCGCGGCCCTATGGGGGGAAAAGGCACGGGTTTGCGGGGGTGCGAGCGCGAATCGAGCGCCAGAGGGTTGGGGTGCGAGACTGCGCGGGGTGCGGCGGCCGGAAGGTGTGCACGGGAACCCTCTCAACCGCGAACGACACAGCCCGCAACGCGCGCACTCAAGCCCATGCCGCTTTGCATCCAACGCAAGGACACCCTTGACGTTGAATTTTCAATGCGCTCAACCCAACGGTGCTCTGGATCTCAAGTCCACCCCCAACATCCCAGCGCCACCTGGCCCATCACACACCCCTCAACCGCCTGTCTCCCCATCTTCCGCCTTTGTCCCCACCTCCTGCCCGCCATCAAACAAGGCACCCCTGCCACTCAAAACCCTGCCCTCGCCCCCGAACACACCTCCAGGTAGTCGACCAGTGTCAGCCCCGTGGTGGGGTTGAGGATGTCCTTGCCCAGCACGGCCTGGCGGTCCTCCTCCTCCTCAATCTTGTCGTCAAGGACCTTTTGGTTTGTGAAGGGGGTGGGGGGAGCGCGAGGGCACGAGTGACACCGGGCGACGCGGAGTGACGTGAGGGTGATGATGGATGGCACTTGGGACCGGACGGAGTGACATGCGGGGTGATGATGGTGGCGTGTTGGCTCCCACCACAGGCCGCCCCACCCGTC